TCTCTCCTAGAAATAAATAAAACATTTAAAAAAAAGAATACAGTGCAGTGTGGGGAACTCCCCAGACCATGCTGTACAGGACATCTCCAGAACTTATCTCGTATAACTGAAACTTTATGTCCTTTGACTAATAACTCCCTCTTTTCTCTCCTCCCAGGCCTGAAACACTACTCTATTATCTGCTTCTGGGAATTTGACTGTACATATGGGGGGTGGGGGGGTGGGGGGAACTCACCACTCCGAGACAAAGACCTGAGTTGAGATCAAGAGTCCGAGGTTTAACTTAGCCTGAGCTACCCAGGTGTCCCTTGACTATTTTAATTCATCATATAAGTAGTATTAAGTCACATTAATCCATCTGTGTCTGTCTTTTACTTTCGTTTTTTAAAAAGTTTTTAATTTCTTTAAGTTTATTTCTTTTGAGAGAGACAGAGTGTGTGGGGGAGGGGCACAGAGAGAGAGAGAGAGAGAGAGAGGGAATCCCAAGCAGGTTCTGCACTGTCAGTGCAAAGCTCAATGCAGGGCTTGAACCCACAAACCGTGAGACCATGACCTGAGCTGAAACCAAGAGTCAAATGCTTAACCGACGGAGCCACCCAGGAGCCCCTGTCTCTTATTTTTAAATATTATCTCAGCATATCTCATCATGTTACACCCAGGTCTTTCCAAAGCCTCTATGCTCATAAGGAGGACAGCAATGGGGTGGGGGTGGCAGATGGAGGCTCAGTGGGTTAAGCATCTGACTCGGCTCAGGTCATGATCTCACGGTTCGTGAGTTGGAGCCACACATGGAGCTCTCTCTTCTCTTCTGTCAGTCTGTCAGCGCAGAGCCTGCTTTAGGTCTTGTGTCTTCTCTTTGTCCCTCCCCAGCTTGTGCTCCCCCCAAAATAAGTAAATATTCTTTAAAAACGGGGGCAGCAGTGGACTAAATAACATATTGTAGGAAGCCAGTGGGAGAAGCAGAGAAATAAGATGTTTTCATGCATTGTATAATTCTTAACATTGCTTGAGAAACAAAGGTTCAAGGGAATTAAAAACTAGAAGAATCACGAGAAAAATAGAAACAAGCTACAGAACTTCCAAAGCACTAGAAGAAAAAGAAAGGCTCAAAAAATTAGGAAATTTCAAGAAAGGACAAGAGAAAAAAGCATAATAAATAGAAAACTATCATAATAGAAGTGATGCCTTCTAACTAAATAACCAATAAAAATGTTTTCTGTCATTTCTAGTATTGTGTCTTTAAATTTTTTTATGTAAAGTTATGACAAAGCCTAAGAAATAGAAAATTACATAAGAGGGTGGAAAAATGTCAAACACACTGGCCATCAGAGCAAATGTAAAAGGTTCACTGACTGCAGTTGAGAAGAGTGTGGTATGTTTTTTGTTTGGCATCTAGACAAACCCTACAGCCTCCTGCATCCTTGCTGCAAAAGCAATTTATTTTTATGCCTTTGTAAGAATTTTCACATAAATAAAAAAACTAGAGAAAGCAATCCTCAATCAGCTAAGTGTCCTGATTACTGACTGAGAGGCCAAGGTCACTCTCACAAAACATTTCCATTTGGAACCTTGAGGCTACGTTGTTCTGCCCCGGCTGCTCCTGTGTTCGACCCCTTCAAGAGCCAGTGGGCACCCTGGTGTTATGGCTCTCTGGGTTCATGCTTGTCTTCTTGCCCAGAGTGTGGGCGCATCCACGGTCAGAACCATGGCCTCATATGTGCCTCATGGTACGTGTGGTCACGGCACCACCCTCTATGCCATGAGTAGTGTGTTCAGTAAAAATCTGGAAATAACGGGGGCACCTGGGTGGCCCAGTTGGTTGAACGTCCGACTTCGGCTCAGGTCATGATCTCACGACCTGATTCGTGGGTTCGAGCCCCGCGTTGGGTTCTGTGCTGACTGCCAGCTCAGAGCCTGGAGCCTGTTTCGGAGTCTGTGACTCCCTCTCTCTCTGACCCTCCCCTGCTCATGCTGTGTCTCTCTCTCTCAGAAAGAAATAAAACATTAAAAGAAAATTGGAAATAATGATCAGCCTATAATAGGTAGCATTTTTGTTTAGTTCAGGTTACCTCCTACTAATAATACCTACTTCCAATAATAATACTTACTTCCCAAAGTTCTGAGGATTAAATAAGATAATGAAGATAATGATAATAATACTAATAACAGGAAATACTGATATAGAACTTAGTGTAAGTCAGGATTTTCCCGAGTGTTTTACATATATTTACTCATTTAATCCTCCTAAGGGTTTGATACATGTAAAGTATCTAAAAAGCGGTTTCCACTAAGGAATTATTCAAGAAAGGATAGATACAGTTATTATTAGGTCATCATTAGCCAATGATGCAAGGAGAAGAAAGAATGTGATAAACTCATTTATACTACAGTGTGAATGGCTGACAATAGCCATACGTCACTGAAGGACAGGTACTGAGAGTTAAGTGTCTGCATCTCACAGGATGATTTTTCAGTTGAGGCATTTGAGGTCTCAGTAGAATCTGGGAGAGAAGGTATGTAATATTTCTTGGGATGTCTTTTCAAGCTCACAAGTAATAGTCATGGAACTGATTTCCAGTCCTGGTGGGGAAAAATAAGCATTTTCCAACTGGAAAACAATTCAATAAACATTGCTTCCCTGCCTAGCAGACTTGATACACATGAAAGATGAAATAGAAGTCAGGTCCAGGCAGACGTTTCATAGAAACATCATGAAATCCAGCAGTGTGGTCAGCCACTTGTCCAACTTTCCAGCTTTCTGAGAAGGGTGGGGAGGAGGGATGAGGTCATCCTGGCCTGGGCTATAAATCTTGAGTGTGATCATCAGCCCTCAGACCATGGGCTGTTAGAGTACATGTGTCACAGGCTGTTTAACTAACCAACCAAAAATTATGGGAGTTTGGCTTAAGGTGTTTTCTTTTACAACAAAAGTTTGTTAGAAGAAAATAAAACCTACAGTAGCCAAGACATGGAAACAACCTCAGTGTCCACTGATGGATGGATGGCTAAAGGAGCTGTAACGGAATATTATTCAGCCACGAAAAACGAGGAAATCTTGCCATTGAGACAACATGGATGGGCCTTGAGGGCATTCTGCGGAGTGAAATAAGCCAGACAGAGAAAGACACATACTGTAATGATCTCACTTCTATGTGGAATTGAAAACAAATGGAAGACAAACCCTAATGAACTCATGGAAAAGAGATCATATTTGAGGTTGTAGGGGAGGGGGAATTATAGAAAGGTGTCAAAAGGTAGAAACTCCCAGTTCTAAGGCAGGCAAGTACTGGGGATGCATGAATGGCGTGATGACTGTAACTGATACTGCTCTACGGCACATGGGAAACTTGTCAAGACACTAAACCCTAAGAATTCTCATTACAAGGAAAAAGAATATTTTTTTCTTCCTTTTCTTTCTCCTTTCAGCATGTTTATAGGAGTTGACGGGTGCTAGCTGAACTTCTTATCATCGTGTCACAGTATATGTAAGTCACATCATCATGCTGTGTGCCGTGAACGGACACAGTGATGTATGCCAATTATATCTCAATAAAACTGAAGAAAAGAAAAAGGAACCCACTATTAAAGAGGGCTGGCACCCGCACACTGACACGTGTAGACCATGCCATTTCTTTGCCGTGTTGTTGCGAACCAGAGAAAGGAGCATGATGGACCAGCAACCAGTTTGAGGACCAGCACTAGGGAACCACCCACCCAGTCCAGCACCTGCTCCTCCGTTTTGTGGAAGAGGAATCCAGGCCCAGGGTCACGGCTTGTGATGTCTCTGCCTGGTTGCAGCTCTGTCGTGGGCACCCAGCCAGAGCATGCTCGTGGTTTCCTCCCTGCACACGCGTCCTCACCTGAGGGGCTCTGCATACAGACAGCAGCTCGGCCATGGGCTCTGGCCCTGGGACGCTCACACCGCCAACCACCCCCAGGGGCAGCTGCTGGGGGCCACAGCGGAAGTCGGGTGTGGGCTGGGGCTCATTGGACAGCAGGGCCAGGGTGCTCCCCAGCACCCGAGACCCCGAGATACAGGAATCACGGATCTGCAGTCCCACGGGGATGTTGGGCAGGAGGGCAGGTCCTCTTTAGCCTCGGACGCAGCAAGGAGAGGGCCCAGGACGTTCAGGGAAAAGCAGGTGTTGAACCTCTGCCAGCGTGAAGTGGAGGGGAGTTAGGACTGATCAGCGGCATCTGCTGAGCCACACAAAACAGCCACAGAGACTGTCTCCTCGGAAGGAGCAAGGGCAAGAAGGCAAGTGGGACTGAATGTCCATGCCTGCTTGCTGGAAGAAGCTTTGGGGGGACTGGGGATCCTCGGAAGACAGACAGATACAAGTAGACAGACATGGAGAGAGGCTGGCAGCTTCCCAGAGATAGAGAGAGACACAGAGTGACAGACATTCAGACATACACACACAGACACATAGGCACACACACAGACACACAGTGCACACAGACACATGCACATAAGCACAGATGCACACAGATACACATAAGACATACACAGATACACACGCAAACACACACACAAGTACATACACAGGCACACATGCACACAGGCACACAGACACACTTACACAGACACACACGCAAACACATGTGCACACAAGCACACATGCACACACACAGTCACACAACATGCACACAGATGCATACATAGACACACACACATGCAAACACAGGCACACATGCACACAGATGCACATAAGATACACTCACACAGATACACACACAGGCACCTATGCACACAGGCACACACACAGACGCACACAGACACACATGCAAACACAAGCACAGACACAGGTACACACAGCGTCACACACAAGCACACACACAGACACATACATGCACACACACAAGCACACACAGGCACACATACACACAGACACGCACACAGGCACACACATAGACACACAAACACACACATAGGCGCACACACATACACACACTTACACAGGTACACACACACCATGCACACACACCCGCACACAGACTCACAGACGTGCAGGGAGGTGGACCACGGCGTAGGCACATGTACAGCACTGCATACAGGAACTCAGCCACACTGGGCAGAGGGGCTGTGGCACAGACATGGTGCACACGTGCGCTGGGGAGGAAGGCTCAGATGCAGAGACAGGCGGAAATGCAGACAGATGGTCAGGTGTGGGACAGACAGGGAGACAGATGCAGGGACTGGCGGCCATGTCCACGGGCACACAGATGGACAAACACCTGTAGAAACAGATGGCCACGGACACAAGCAGACAGCCCTGAGTAGGTGCATGGACAGGTGACCACGTGTCTCTGACCGAGACCCAGGCAGGAAGAAGGCAGGGACCCCTGCGGCCGGCGTGGGCCTGGGGCTGCCTTCCCTCTGGCCCCGTGAACAACCCCTACGTGCATCTTCCCAGGGCTCCGGTGCCATGACTCCCAAGCCATTCCCAGGCCTCCCGCCATGGATCTCTCCCTCAGGCCGAAGGTGCAGAGAGAGAAAGGGACTTGCCTTGGGTGGCTCAGTGACTTGGTCACTTGGTCACCTGAGTCACTTGGGTGACTCAGTGACTCGGGGAGGGCTGGGACTAGAACCTAGTCTTGCAGGTGCTCAGAGCCAAGGGCTGTCCCTGCCAGGGGCCCGGGAGGGTGGATGGCAGGTCTAGGGCCCCCCAACTGCCTCCAGTGATCAGGAAGGCGGCCCTTCCCCCTCCCTCCCTCCCCAGGTGGCCATTCCAGTCTAGGGATAAGGACTGGACCCACCGTTGGCACAGCGGCTGCTCTGGAGGCTTCTGGAGCCTTACTTGTGGCTGATCCAGCACTGCATGTATGGACATCACGTCCCCGATGAGCACGTCTTCTTTGGCGGAGAAGACGTCCGAGGGCCTGGACGTTGGCAGGTAGCCAGGGGACCCAACAGTGTTCCCTGTGGCCACTGCCAAGGGCGGGCAGGCAGGACCACTGGATGGGCATGGAGGCTGTACTTCCCTGTGGGCTTGTGGCTGGGGAGGGTCCCTGTCGTCAGACTGCCTGGGCCTGACCTCCTCCGGGGGGCTCGAGGCACATCCGCTGAGTCTTCAGGGGACCCAGGAAAGAAGGTGAGTGAGTGTGGCTGAGCCTGGCCTTGGTCCTACATGTCTATTCTTTCAAGGTGTGCAGCTGTGACCCCCTTCCGGCCTGGCCGGCAGCTCCCTCATCCTTGCGTCACATGTCGTCATGGCTACCAACCCTCCTTACTTGCTGGCTGAGGCCCGGGCAGAGACAGCCCCGCCGCCCGCCCTGCCCACCTGCACGTCCTCCCTCCTGGGGCCCCTGCTCAGGGGGCTTGTGTTTATGAAGTCGCCCACCCCCCTGCCCCAGGGTCCTTGGACCTGCTCACCCCCACAGTCCTCACTACCGTGATGCCCAGGGGAGGCTAAGGCCTCCAGGGAACAGGCTGCAAATCACATGAGCGAAGCAGCTTGTCGTCTGCGGCTGCAGGCCTCAGTGTCCCTGGGCTGGGTCCACTTGACCTCATGCTCATGGAGGGACACAGCCAGGGAGGGCCGGCCTTAGGATTCAGCTTCCACCTGTGTGTGGCCTGAATACTACCCCAGCTCTTGCTGTCATCTCTCCGAGAGATCTCGGGCATTCACCTCTCTCTGGGACCTCAGTTTTCTCTTCTGTGATGGGAAAGCATTGGCGTCAGCAGGTGGTCCTCAGACTCTGGACAGCAAAGGCCTCCGTAACACTCCAGGCGGAGCTCAGTGCATGAAGTCGCGAGGTGGGGGTAGAGATGTCCTCTGCGGTGCATCCGGTGGCCTTCAGTTTTGCCTGCTGGGTCCCCTGGGCCTCCCCATGGTTTCTTGGCCCCTGGAGGTCACGTGCAAGGACCACGCGCAAGGCTCCTTACAGGCCTGAGTCTACTTTTCAAGTGGGCATCATGGGGCGAGCATGGGGACTGTCACAACGCTTGGCCCGGGAGACTCTTGGGGCTGAGGGGAGGCCCGGGAGTCCAGCCTCTGGCTCAAAGGGGAGCTTTGGGACCGTGCCCTCTGCACCGGGGAGCCTAGCAACACAGCGTGACAGGAACCATTCATCAACCGCGAACTGGCTCCGTGGGCTCCGGGCTCCGTGGGCCGCAGACATCCAGTCTCCGCGGGCCTCACTTTCCTCCCCTTAAGATGGGAGCCATCGGGTGCCTTCCTGGCTCGCTCAGCGGCTGTAAAGAAGCTTAAGTGTGGTCATTAGGCATTCGAAAGAGCCCTGTAAATTGTCAATGCTTTGAGAAGCAAGGGACAGCCCCGCCAGGATGTCGCCTCAGGGGCTGCAGACCAGATGCTGGCTGGGGGACCCGCTGGGGCGAGCTGGGCCGCGGTTGGCCTGAAGGGGGCGCCAGGCAGTAGGAAGCCTTCTGCGCTGGAGACCAGGGTCCAGGAATAGAAACCTGGCTGGCCCCCTGCCTCTTAAAGGTTTATTGAAACACAGCTGCAGTCTGTCGCGTCCGTATTGCCTAGGGCTGCTTCCTCACAAGGACGCAGATTTGAGGAGCTGCCGCAGAGACCCCTCGGCCCACAGAGTCTAGAGTACTTACGATCTGGTCTTTATGGAAACGTTTGTTGGGTGCTGCTTTAAAGCTAGCTTTTACTTTATTTTATTAAATATATTTAAATGTTTATTTATTGTTGAGAGAGACAGAGCATGAGCCAGGGGTGGACAGAGCAAGAGAGGGACACAGAATCCGAAGCAGGCTCCAGGCTCTGAGCTGTCAGCACAGAGCCCCACCCGGGGCTCGAACTCTCAAGCTGTGACATCATGACCTGAGCCAAAGTCAGATGATTCGCCAACTGAGCCACCCAGGCGTCCATACTTTATTTTATTTTAATATTTTTTTATTTATTTCTAGGAGAGAGAGAGAGAAACAGCGTGAGCAGGGGAGGGTCAGAGAGAGAGGGAGTCACAGACTGAAACAGGCTCCAGGCTCTGAGCTGGCAGTCAGCACAGAGCCCGACGCGGGGCTCGAACCCACGAACCGCGAGATCATGACCCAAGCGAAAGTCGGACGCTTAACCGACTAAGCCACCCAGGCGCCTCCATACTTTATCTTTTTTTTAAATGTTTTTATTTAATTTTGAGAGAGAGTGAGAGAGCACACGTGCAGGGGAGGGGCAGAGATAGGGAGATAGAGGATCCGAAGCAGGCTCTGCACTGACAGCAGAGACGCCATGTGGGGCTTGAACTCATGAACCATGAGATCTTGACCTGAGCTGAAGTCAGATGGTTAACTGACTGGGCCACACAGGAGCCCCAAACTAACTCTTCCTTTATAAGAAATATGGGGCTGAGTGACATGTGTGAGTTCCCTATTGGTGAGTAACAAATTACCACAAAATTAGCAACTTAAAATGACACACATTTAGAGTCTCGTAATTTCCAAGAGGCAAGAGTCAGTGTGTTATCTGTGTCCTCTGGGATTGGGGCGGGGTGTCCTACCATGATTGCGTGGGGCATCCATCTCATGAGGGTAGGATTTGAGAGGCAAAGTCTTCTTTCAGGCCCCATCTGGTTGTGGGTAGGATTCATTGTGTGGCAAGTTTTGGCCACGGTGCCCATTTTCCTTGCCAGAGCTGGTTTTGCACTAAATCTCAGGTCTCCACTGTGTGGCCTTTCCTTTCAAAACATGGCAGCTTCCTCCATCAAGGTTAGCAGGAGAACATCTCTGCTGCTTTACACGGGGCCCAACTCAGGACCCAAACTCATGACCCTGAGATCAAGACCTGAGCTGAGGTCAAGAGTCGGACTCTTACACGGCTGAGCCACCCCGTTGCCCTAACAAATACAGCTTCTATTTTGATGGAAAAACCCTCCTGACTTGTTTGGATGCAGTTCTAAATTACGTGTATTACAATTGATTCCAAATATATTTCTTGTTCCAGAAGTTCTGTAATTCAATAAGAGCATTGCTTTTATCGTGATGCTGTGTGCGACAGTAAAGTTTGTATTTTTATTATATCACAAACCAGAAGTGTTGTCTTCCAGTTTGATATTTTATGCTGAATTTACAACAGTGTTCACAGTGGTGTCAAATATTTCATCTCTGACAGAATGAACTTTCGGCAGCTTTATTTTGATAGATTGGATGGGGGGAAATTATTAGAAATAACAAACAATCTTCTGTTTGAAGCATTTAATGACACTGATATGAAACTGTCATCATTTTATTGCGTGTAAAATTGTTCTATTCTGTTGGTGCCAGTATGTTACCAGTATTGCTTTGATTTTTTGGGTGTACGTGTCTGCACAAAAGAATGGGAATTAGATAAATGAGCGAGTGACCTTTGATGTGAATGGAAAGTCTTGCTTCACAGAGTGCAATGTAAACATACCCGTGATTTTCAATCATTACCGTCTGGCGCAGTCTCTGAAAACAAGCGTTGATGCATCTTCAGCAGATTTGTGTTTTCTACTTTTCAAGTCCTTGCAGGCATCACCATGACTCCCACAGTGGGTGATAAATGCTGACAAACATCTCGTGCAAAATACAGGTCATCATCAACTTTCTTGACCAATATGCACTTCTGTTTTTCTTTATTTTCTTTTCTTTTTTTTTTTTTTGTTATTTTTCCTTTTTTGCTATGGGAAGTGCTTATTGAAAAATATAAAAGTGATACCAAACAATAAAATATATTGCTGTGGCTTTTTACCATGCAAAAATGGACCAAACCACAGAAAAGAAAGTTTTCAGACTACTTTGTATATGTTCTGTTGCATCATCTCTTAGTCCTCATTTCTGCACACTGTGCATTTATATTTAAGTGCCTGCCAATGGACAACCTGTTGGCTTCACATGGCGTGGGCCACAGCACAGCGGGGGACACACCAGTGGCTGCCAGGGGGGTGCGGTGTTCAATGTCTCCCTCACCACCACCCTAGATCAGAGAAATGACCCAACCCAGATCTTTGTGCCTGAGTGATTTTGTTTTGGTTTGTTTTGTTTAAACACGGGGCACCATGTATGATGACGTTGGATAAGAGAGATTTTAGTCTGGAAAGAATTAGGAAAAGACAGATGAGAAATGGCTGATTTGTCTTTCAGATTTATACACATATCAGAGTGACAACTCCAACACTGTATGCGCGTTCCACACACTACTGGGTCCGAGCGTGACAGACGCAGGAAGCACAGGATGGAAGTCTACTGAACTGTTACCTAAAAATGTGCGAATTCCGAGACAAATGCTACATTGACTAGGATGAAAAAACAACAGGTGTAACAGAGGCTCTCCTGGGAGAAATTTGAAGTTGTAAAGTGCTTTTCTTTCCTTCCCTTATCTCCTTCCCTTTTCTCCTTGCTCTCCCTTTCCTTCCTTCCTTCCTTCCTTCCTTCCTGGATCTCTCTCTCTCTTTTTTGTAAAGTTTATTTATTTATTTTGAGAGAGCGCATGTGCACTACGTGAGCAGGGGAGAGGCAGACAGAGGGAGAGAGAGAATCCCAAGCAGGCTCCACCCTGTCGTGGGGCTCGATCCCACAATCCTGGGATCATGACCTGAGCTGAAATCAATAGTCAGATGCTCAACCCACTGAGCCACCCAGGTGCCCCATCTCTCTCTCTCTTTCTTTTTGAAGATTAAAGCCTTTCTTTTCTTCAGGAGAACTGATTACCAAATATAGGGTTTTTGTGTTTTATGCTAAGAGCACTTTATTGAGTATAATTTTTTTTAATGTTTTATTTATTTCTAGGGGAGAGAGAGAGAGACAGCGTGAGCAGGGGAGGGTCAGAGAGAGAGGGAAACGCAGACTCTGAAACAGGCTCCAGGCTCTGAGCTGGCAGTCAGCACAGAGCCCGACGCAGGGCTCGAACCCACGAACCGCGAGATCATGACCTAAGGGAAAGTCGGACGCTTAGCCGACTAAGCCACCCAGGCGCCCCATATCGAGTATAATTTAAAACAGCAAAATACATTAATCTTATCTGTACAACTCAATAAAATTTGGCTATATACATATATATATATGCATATAACCATCACAGAGATGAACATGTAGAGGGTTTCTATACCCCAGAACCCCCCCTGCTCCATCTCTGTCCACACTGACATTCTTCCCCCATCCTCCAGGAGCAACCACTATTCTGATTTCTATTCCCATAGGTTCATTTTTCTATTTGCACTTTATATAAATGAGATCGCTTGATCTGACTTCTTTCATTCCATGTATTATTTTTGGGGATTTCTTTGTGTTCTTGTATGTGTCATTGGTTCCTTCCCTTTCAAACTGGGAGGGTGGGGGTGCCTGGGGGGCTCATTTGGTTTAGTGTCTGACTCCTGATTTCAGCTGGGATCGTGATCTTGGGTTTGTGGGATTGAGCCCTGCATTGGGCTCTGCACTGAGCCTGGAGCCTGTCTGAGATTTTCTCTCTCCCTCCCCTCTCCCAGCATGTGAACTCTGTCTCTCAA